TGCATACAAAAAGGACGAAGAGGCGAGGAAAGCCTCTGCGAAGGACGTCTCCATGGCGGAGGGATCGGGTTTCGGAATTCTAGAAACCGAAGAAGAAGTTTGAGGACTCGGCAGTTCTTGGTGAAGTCTACAACAACTTTCACAACAAAAAGCAGGAAACCAGCCGATAGCAAAGGTTACCTGAGAGCTCATCTTTCGCTCTCAGCGGAGATTAGGAAAAGTCACTTGGAAGATGTGACAGGGAAGGAAACGGGTGAGAAGCGCGGGATCTGGATCACATATGAAATTCTTCTAAATTATTATTTATTTTTTTCAGTTTATTTCAGTTTTTTGTTTGATTTACGCTTTGATTTTAGTTTTGATTTAAGTTATGTTGTTAACTTCATCTACTTTTGTTGAGGTTCCCGCGGTTGGAATGAGTTGGGCCTGTACGCAGAGAACCCCACCGGCTCCACCAGTCTTGTACCGATAGTGGACCTAGAGCTTTAGCTTAGGACTTTAAAATAAAAAAAAATAAAAAAACACACACACCGTTTACTAGGTACACAACGCGCGCCCAGAAACCTCATAGGTCTGGCGTTAAATGAAAACTCACTCACTCATCACCCACAGCAATGACAGACTCGACTGGGCTGCGTACTTTTATCTTAACATTCCAATAAGTCTCAGCTTACTCTTAACCAAACATCCCGACACATGGAACACGATGCGCGACCACCTTGGTCATCTCATGACTACCAAGAGACATACTGACTAGGCCATCGAGACTTTGTATTCTAAGGTGTGAATCCTTGGAGCAGACACGGTAGAAATCTACCTTGATCAGGCAGCGACAGATTTCAAACAACTAATATCAAGCCAGTGGTATTAGACTGGATAGTTGCTGGACAGTGGATGGGTGCCTTCGGGCGCGCCCATACGCTGGATAGTTTGGACAGATTCAGGTTGCCGGTACGTGGACTTTAAACTTGAGTTCTGTACCAACTCAACTTTAAATCAATCAAAGCCAATCAAAACATCATGACCCGTGCAATCTGGAGTCGTGCGCAGAATATGCTGCAGTACTGTATGAGTTGTGTCACGCGCTCTATTATCGATTATCTAGTAGCCTAGTTGTTCAAAGCAATGTTACAAAGAGGGCATGAGGTAGAAGAGCATGGCTGACTTATTTCTCTCTATTGGGCTAGGTGTTCACCTATGCATAGGCAACTATCACGGTACGGCGAAGCGGGTCTGTGACTAGAGACCTGATCAGGGCTCCCACCATTTTTTTTGTTTATTGTCCTATTGAGTCACTGAATGTCAGGACATGTAGGTCCTTTCTACGTACAGGTCAAAAGTATCTATGCTTCGGGTAGCATACTCCCTGCTCTGCCTCCTTCGCGACCTCTTTCCAACAGTAATACCCCCATAGGTCTTCATTTGAGTACACACTAAGAGAAGCCATCATCCCCCCTCTCCAACCAATGAAACCATGGCCATTTGTAGATGTGAAGCTGAAAAGAAAATTCTTAAAACTGCTGGGTTTGTGGCTTCCCTATTAAGAAGAGGCCGAGCAGCCAGGCGCGGCAGATCTGTGTGTACTTAAGAATGTCTCTCAACCATCCTAGCCTTCTCTTTTCTTTCTCCCTGATTCATGGCGCAGAACAAACCGAAGGGCGTGAAAGGGTTTCTGTAAAGTCTTGGTCGAAAATGACTGCCGTAAAGGAGCCTAGCTTAGCATCCAATTGTCCTTACGGACCTGGGGTTATCGAGTAACTCATGTATTTCAGATACCCTCCTAGCTAGTAGATTCGGAATTGTAAGTTAGAAGAGACGATATTGTTGACCAGTCTAAGTCTAATTTCTTAAACGCAGATAGGCCCTTTTCTTTGTTTTCGTGGGCTTTTCTTTAGCCGGAGATAGGTAGAACATTTGTGATATAACAAGGGCCTCTCATACAACTGCTGTGGCGTTTGGTACCACATTATGTTGAAAGTCATGCGATAAATCTGTAATTGTGAAGTGTATAGATAATTGTAAGAACAAGAAAACAAGCACCAATATATATAATTCATTTTACCTGATTTGGCGCCTTGAGGCTCATGCAGGTTTTATCGGAAGATATTTACTTTAAGTAGGATGACTCAATTTGACGATTAGAACACTCATACTCAGATTTCATTTGCAGATACCACTCGAGGTTAACCCTTACAGCGTATAACCTCTTCCGTGCATACCCACCACAGGGAAAAGCATGAAAACCCTGTGGCTATCCCAGTGTGCTTTCATCATCCCACAAGTATAATGTCACCGCGAGAGGGAGTGGTGTAAGGGTTTTACTGGACTGGAACCAGCTTTCTCCTGTCTCGAATGGGGTAGGTGTTCAAGCTACCCAGTATCTACTTGGGAGAACGGCCCGGATGGTATACCACTGCATCATCCAACCCAACAAGCACCAATAGTTGTAGTAATAATACACACAAAAAATTATATATATATTTATATTATAAGGAATCTAATTTCGAGAGCAAGTATCCACACGCAGCTAAATATATAGCTGGTATGTAGTATACTCTTAACTCCACTGTTGCATAAATTACAACACATTATATTTCCTTATTCCCGGCATCAATATCTTCGTCTTGATCGTCTTATGTGTTATCATAAATGCTTCTTTGACAAAGGGGGAGATTGCTCAGCTCAATGTTGAAAAGTTGTGACTCAAACTTGGCTCTGCAGACTCTACAGTGAGAGCTAGAGGTTCGTAAGGGATACCGCGGATAGGTCTTGAGAATAGTCCCCATATGTTCTCATCATTTCTCTGCTTCACAACCTCATGGCTCAAACGGGTTGCTTCGCTATATTTGCTCAAAACCCGCCTCTTGTACCGGTGCGATCCCTAGCATTAATTTCTTCTCATAAGGGCCCAACGCTACTTGGAAGCCAATAGCTCAATAGATGCCCAGGTCCGTTATTTGTGATACCATTAAACCCTCTGGGTTACTCTACCTCTGGGAATCATGCAACCTATTCTACTGTGTGATTTGGTCTAATGCAATCTTAGACTCACTGATTTTGGTGCCGTCTAATATTTTTTGCTCACTTGATGTACAGAAAACTTTCTCCGCATGAAAAGTGACCAGTGCTGTGTGAGAATGTATGATGACAAATTTGACTTCAGAGACACTTCTTGTCTGGATTTTATTCGCAAATACCACTGTAAGGTATTTCTGCTTGCGCGGAACAATCGACCCTCTTCCGTGAGTACCTGGTTAAAGGAAGCTTAAAAACTTTGGGTTGTACACGGTCACTTTTATCATCCTGTACACGAGCACCACAAGAAGTTAGATCGTGACTTGCTAGATTAGGACCAGCGATTTCCGGTACCAAGGGCAGTAAATACCCAAGCTATCAAGACCCAATCCATGAGGCAATTCCGCATGATATGCCATTGTGCCATCCACGCACACAATGCTCTCTGACGTCCAAATTTATTTGGTAGAACTTCTGTATCTTGTTCCTTTCAAGATTGTATCGAAACTTGGTGTAATCGTGCATTTTAGTCCTGAAAATTTTTCACACTCATCCCGAAATCTACTACCCAGATTTGTGCCCTGCAATTTGTTTTCTATAGTGGGTACTCATATTTCCGAAAGTGTGTATGTTGTGACCAGCTGAGGTTAGAGACTGAGTTGACTAGGGGGTTTGTCGTTGAAAAGAGGATAAACTAAGTCTTAGTTGTAGACTAGATGAGGCTTTGTTCGGAATCAGTCCTGTTGGTAGTAAAAGGGCGAATTGGTACAGTGTCTTGAATCGTTTTCTTGAGGGCCAAGATCTTCAGTGTCACAAAATACGACTGTATTTGCTTCTAGGAGAATGACATTCTACAGGCTGGAATAATACACCGCTGACAGTTGCCAGCCTCTGACCTACCAGTCAGCAAGTCATGTGGTGGGTACAAATGTAATCTGAACCCTTACAATTAGTCTCATTCTCCCAGCTAAACCGACGGCCCGCACCATAAAGTTTCGAGACTAGAAAGCTTAGCATCCTTCATTGGAACTCTGGGTTGAAATCCGCAATGCGACACTGCCAAGGAAGCCATAATACCATGAGCCATGAAGCAGCTGCCGAGTTTAGGTGCGGGAAAATGTTGAGTTCATCTCCTACGTCCTTATCAGTCTTCATGCCTCTTATTACGCTGATGGAGTGTAGGCCTCTTCCCATCATATCACTCGACGATATACATCATTTACTTGGTAAAAGTCGCAGTTCAGATTATCCACAGTTCACAAGGGTTCGCTAAATGATCTACAGTACACGAGTCGTCGCTGGCAAGGACGCGACATTGAAGAGCTTGGTCGTTTATTGGCATTTTGTTTACAGACATCCACTCAAGATTGCCTACAACAATATCAAACTACCATCAGCAACAGTTAAAGCCTGCTCATCTCTAGGCGTCGCAAGTTACACTGACTCGACCATATGATAGTTGCGACGCACCGAAACACAAGCTCTGTTTTCATTCCAGATGGTCATGGTTGTCAGACACTGACGGTTTGAGTTGCAGCAATTAATGAAGCTACTCGGTTTCGAGCAGAATTACACTCTTCTGGAAAGAAGATGATCGTTTTCACACACTGCCGGGGTCGAGCCAATCAATGGCTGCACATTTCCCTTAGCACCTACCACGGTCTCGTATAGGAGACCCCTCGATATGCGTATAGCTTCAGTGTCGTGGTAAACATGTTCCCGCGACAAGCCTGCATCATGATGCTGTCCCCATATATTCGTCGGGCCCGGATCCTATGCCGAGCAAGATTGCACTTGTCTCCCCACTGCCCCTTAATCGTGGGTTACAATGATTGTTTCCCGCAGACCTATTGTGACGGTCCCTGATTTAAAGAGAGTTATAAATACATATACATATATAATTCTACGATCCACATTTGCTGTGCATTTTAATCTTTTATAATTAGTGTCTGGATTTCGTAATTGCATAATTCTCGCTCAACACAATGTCATTCACCATGCTAGGCTCATGGTCCAAACTTTTCTCGCTCGTCTTCCTCATCTGCATCGCCCATCCTGTTTGTGCTCTACCAAAAGGCGGCCAGGACTCAAATGATAGCAAAGGCAAGGCCACCTCCACTGCGGCATCAGCTAGTGGCACATTGGGCCAAGCCACAGACGGCTCAGTCATTCTAGACAAGACAGTTCAAATCAAGTAGGTGGCCTATCCCTTGCTAATATGCTATTCTGATTTGAGACAGCGGTCTACCCATTCGTTACCGCATCAGCGCGCCGGCCGATCAATTTACCGCGGCCTCGGGCGTTCCGGGCGCCAAGGCCGATTCCAGTCAAGCAGGCGCCAACGGCTTAAACGTCCTGCTACATGGTGATGGCGGTACATCCTTCTTCGACTTCCCCAACCAAGCAGTACAGGATGGTCTCATGGGTGTCGTTGTCCTCGCACCTAACAACAAGCGTTTTTGGGGTGGTGGCAGCGGCTTGCAGCGTACTGATGGCGTTGCCCATGCCGCCGCCGTCAACTCTCTCATTCAGAAGCAGCTGGCGCAGGACGTAGCCTTTGATCCATCGCGCGTCTTTTTCACCGGCGTCTCTGGCGGCTCCCTTCTGCTCTCAGGCTTCTTCGTGCCGGCCTTTGGTGCCACCTACAAGACTGGTGTTGTACTTAACTGCGGAGCCCTTACACCACAGGTCAATGTCGTCGATTCTTCAACACTCATCTCAAAGATGAAGATTCACTTCCAGAGTACGCAGGATGAGCTGGCCTCACTCCAAGGCGAGCTCCCTCGCGCCATCGCCGCCTACGAATCCCTCGCCACCGACGCCGGCCTCTCCGCCGATCAGATTGGCGCTCTTCAGACCGTCGACAATTCACCCAATGGCGGCGGCCACTGCGCCTTTGACGGTAAAGACTTCGTCTCAGGTGTCCAACTGATAGCCTCCAACTACGCCAACATTATCAGCGATAATCCATCAGGCAAGGTGCCCGGCATCAAGCAGAGTGTCCTCAAGGTAAGTCGGCCCGATGCTCTCGAGGCAATACGGAACTAATTCGCGGTAGTCTGTGGTGGGTAACGAAAAGATCTCATTCTCCAGTGCGACATAAACGCCTCTGTCGACTCTCTGGGCCCGCGTATGCGAGAAAATTCCTCACGCCCTCAGTCATTGCGGGAAATAGCTTCTCCACGGCATTCACATCTATTTAGGATCACGTGCAACTAGCAAAGCCCATAGTGGTTGCGGTGCGCCAACGAGAATTTCGCAGCATCTCAACTCTACTAAGTCATCAAGTTCATTCCGTTCGGTGCTTACTTTCACTGAAGTCTACCGTCAGTGATTAGCTTCGTGCGTATGAACGGCAGTGAGAGATCCCAATCCGACATCTCCACAGGCCCATGAAACATCCTCGGCGTGGCAGGTCCTTATTGCGCGAGGGGCGATGAGGGGGTTAAAGCGACTTAGGCGCTACATTGTGCACGACATTGTATGTGTAGCTAAATTTGTCATGAGCTGGAATCGGCTTGGGCGGCTCATAGAACTCTGTAGTCTATCGCAAGCGTCGCGTAGAAAATAAATCCCCTTCAAGCCTAGAATATCTTTCACGTTAGAGTGAGCCATGAGATTTTTATCGTGATGACATGTTCGGTTGTTTCTGTGACTTAAAGTCGATACTAGAGATCATGTCACTCGTCGTTACCGTCTCAGAGCATCGAGGGCCGAGAAGCTCATGTGGCCCAGCCTTACTGATTCCGGCCCGAGTCGATGCTCAGTGCGACGCGTATGCTACGAATAAACTTTGCTCAAAGGCACGGTCCGGCATCACATTCTCTTGTCTTTCCAAGCAGCTCATCGTTCGCCCGGTCTTGATTTACAGTAGTCACTGGGATAAGTCTTATTTGACTTATCGAAGACAACCATTGTAATGGTCTTCTATTCAGCCAAAGGACATATTGATTCATGCCAACTACTCATCGCAAATTTTACTCAATACAGCCTTTTTCTAGGTTTAATCGAACCTTGACTACAGCTTTCTTACTCTTCCATTTTGTAAGGTTACGGTCGATGATGAAACACGTGCAATAATTGCTGGGTACAAACCCCTGCACTAGCTAAGAGTGATGATTAAAAAGACGATACTTTCTATGGACTAAATATACTTGTGGGTTTTGCGCGCTTATTTAAATAGGTTATCTATGATCCTCAACAATGTCAGATCCCGCTGCCGTCAAATGATGATGATCCGCAGTGAGAAATTTCATAAATAGTTCATCTCTTTCTACACTCCGCCTGTATGATATGGTTACTGAAGTTCCTCTAGTAGCAGCTTCTATATCTCTGTCCACAGGCCCTTTGTCGCTGGCTCTATTGACTTGCATTGGATGGTATCATCATCGACTTCGCGATACTATGTGCGAGCAGCTCACCCGACACTAGTTTTACTCATCTTCATCCCAACCCTCTGGCCCATCCTGATCGTAAATAACTTTTTCAATCAGCTGGAGGGTAGGCCTCAGCGGTAGTCCAATCACATTGTCGGCACTTCCTTCAATCCTCTCTACAAGAAGGCTACCCATCCCTTGGATTCCATAGCCTCCAGCCTTATCTACGCCTTCTCTCGTTTTGACATAAGCCTCGATCAATTCATCACTTACTTCTGCCGCAAATATCACTTTGGTTTCTTCTACAGTAGTCTCGATGTTGTACCCAGGGTCTCGGGCGTCATCTCTCGGTGCTAGCACTGCAACTGCTGTGTAGCATTTGTGTGATTTTTGGTCTCGGAGCATTTTCAGCATTTGATGATGCTCTTTTTCACTGCGTGGCTTTTCGAGTATACGGCCTGATGTGGTGACGATTATAGTGTCGGCAGAAATCACGAGAGATGGGTCTGGAATAGAGGCCAAAGAGTTCGAGAGAGCGATAGCGTATACATCAAGACATTTCTGAATGGCAGTTTGAAGGACATACTCAAATGCCCCCAAATCCTCTTTTGATAGATTTTCAGGTTTAGTAGAGGGCACAACCTCAATATTCGTGAGACCAAGCTGTATCTAATTAGAAGGTAATATCAGGGCACAATAGAGACTAACAAGAGAGATGATTTGTTTTCGCCGTGGACTTGCCGACGCAAGTATGACTCTCTTCCCTCGAAGCTGAGACAGCACAGGCAATTCTAGAGGAAACGGAGCCCGAGGCAAAGCTTTAATGGGAGGCTTTCTCTCCTCATCTGCTACATGCTGAGTGGTACTAGCTTCGTAACATGGCGGCGACTCATCAGATTTTATTACTACTTGACCCTTTTTCTGAGGCATGGTGTATTTGGCGCTTGTACGAAACAAACATACTTTGTCATTATGAGATGGTCTGTTCGCCGTGGTGCGCCTCGTTCCTTCCTGAGAATGGACAACACTAGAATGATGGCCCCGGCTGAATGGCGCTGTGGTATGCCAGCCGTACTAGACCCCAAAATAGATAACGGTCAGCCTTCTCGTCTACTATTTTCGAGACGCGATCGTGATGAATCGGACCAGTAAAGCAAAATCACCTACGACTCGCCTGTGAATAGACCTAATTCATGAATTGAAGGGCGACAAAATTCTCTGAGATCTCTCCCCTGTCGAGGCTGGAAGTAAAGTAGCGGCCGAACTCCGTGCAAAAGCCCTACAAGCGAGACCGGCGGATATAGTCATAAGAATAAAAAACAATTTAGATACGTGACAGTTAATTTATGAATAGAGATTATCCGTGTTGTAGACCTTAATGTACACGAGGCGAAAATGTCTAGTGCCAAATACAAATATAATGCAAGAAAGCAATACACAACACAGGATCTACATTTGATTTCGCTACTTAAATCATCTTGCAATCTTCAAGACTACAACATCCTCACTCGAAGCAGTCCACAATTAACCTAGGAATTACTGATTGGGGGCCCTATGCTTCTAATTGTGGAATCTCAAAGTACATTTATTGCAAGCGCAAGTGGTCGATTGTTTATAGGAGCCACTGTAAGAAAGTTGGATTCCCGCATGATTTATTTGGAGGCAGACACAACCACTATTTGTCAAATGGCCGTGGTGAAATTGTAGAATAAGTGTATCTTAGATTGAAATAGGTTTGTGTGGGGGCCTGCCGCCAAAGTCGAATTCATCACTCCCCAGTGGTTTTGTTTTGTTCATTAACGTGCTAGGTTACATGGCTACCGTTGCACTCCTATTGGAGCTTAAGCACGTGTGGGATTGGGCCGGATCAGGTTAACTACCGTGAAGTACAGATAAACCCCGTCCCACTTTAATGACCTGACCACCTCAGACTTCACCCATGTGTTGAATCATACCAAGCCTAACCGTCCAGAAACCCGCTGTATACACGCCGTAGCGCAATTTCTTCCTCAGCCTCGGCCACCACGCGCCCGAGCCCTTGATATCCTCATTGACTCCGAAATATAAATGCCGTCCAAGATCTCATCGTTGCACTAGCCTTGCACCTTCATATCGTACCGTTGGGTTGTTTTCGTCATTGGGGATTTGTGTAATCCCCTCGGTGTGTCTTCCCTCTTCTTCCTCCTTTGTACACGTCCAGTTTCCATCATGACTTTCCTCATTAGAGCGTGTGTAGGTAGGTGATCAGACGGGTATGGAGGTAGGTCGCAGGTGTAGGATCGATTGAGACATGCTTCGTCGCAAGTATAAAAGGAGTTTAAGAGATGTTGGATGTATGAATACGACCCCCAGATAGACCTAGGCCCATCCGTGAATCGTATGTTGGTGGTGATGACATTTTGTTCGACGTTGTTCCGGCTGTGAAATCTCTGCCGACTGATTTTCCGACCAAAATATCGAGTGCAACTCCTTCAAGTCGAAAATCCATCAATTATAATTCATCGCACCCTTTTTGGTGACTGAATCTCGGCTCTGGGGGAATATTTCACTCTCAGGTTCGTAGAGGACACCACTGACAGGTGTTCAGCCTTCGTCCTCCACTCCCCAGTGGTGCCGGTGAGCGAGTGATGTTGTTATTGTACTACTTGAATCATAGAATATCTAACACCTTAGGCTCCTCTTTGGCTCAGGCCATACCTTGTACTGTGCTCCTATCCTCTTTTGTTACTTCAAAGATCATTGATATATTGCCCTTGTTGAATAGCCATTCAACTCAGTATTTACCCGTCGAATTCGGCCACCTTTTCCACGGAACCTTCTACCTTAAAAAATAAAATTGGTAGCAATGGAAACTGCGTGCGCGGGAAAAGTCTCAAAAAACCTGCAGCCCCAGCCAGGCGAGGCCTAGACACCGGGACCACATGAGGTGCGCATATTCATCTATATCTCCCTTCTTTGTAACAGTCGAGGTCGACTTGATCCAATCCGCCATCTCTGCATCGGGTGCTGGGCACGCTCCGAAACTAATCGGATGGCATCTCCTCCATGACCAATACTTGGTGATGAGTAGGGCTCCGAACCTACCATCTGATCTGATCGTGGTTAGCTTCATGATAATGATGATAGGGGAATGTGTTGAGAGATGAAGACGATACAGACCGCGAAAGCGTTTGGGAATCCTCATCGAAGTGAGTACTTTGTTACTCAATCTCGGCTCTGCAGACTCTACAGTGAGAGCTGGAGGTTTATAAGGGACACCACTGACAAGTGTTGAGAATAGTCTCCCCGATGATTGTATGAGAACTTGCGAGGTGTTGTACTAATTGAGGGAAGCTGTACGGGAGGTATAGGATTGGATATGCTACTGATGTAGGTATGCTCGGACTGAAGAGAGACAGGATAATAAGAGAATTATTAACGGGTCAGCGGGTAAAATACCAGAAAGGATAGTCATTTCATTGCGAAGTATCCAACGGAAATGCTTGATGCTTATTACAGGGTCATATAACTCTACCAGAAGCAGGGTAATAGAACACGAGTCTTCGGTTCTCCCGATTGATATCTCCCTGAAACAAAGGAGTGTCCAACACGTCGGACTATCAGAAGGATCACATGTCAGGAGAACGATACTATCTGTATGCAGTAACATTAAGCAGGCCACAAGGGGAAACGAGAACAGGCACGCCAAGAATCGAAAGCATCACATTAAAGAATGGACCTGAATTTGTGGTATGAGAAATGCGAAGAGAAGACAAAAAGAAGCCAGTAAGGTGGCTGCGTTCCAGGAGTGGAAGAACTCTTGGACACGCCCAGGGAACGAAATACTATCTAGTCATCGAGCTTTGGCCGACCCTGAACATTGGAGGAGAGTCGCAAATATTGTTACAGATGAGACAACAGGCAGAAAAAGGATTACATGTAGAAACACACCCTCATATATCCACCTGAAACTTAGCAGGGCCCAAAGCAATATTGTAGTTCAGATAAGAAGTGAGCACATTGGTATCAATTCTTATCTGTATGGAAGGAAAGTCCCCGGAGTGATTAATCCAAAATGCCAGTGTGGATATCCGTCTCAAAATGTTAAACATATGGTCTTGGCGTGTCCTCAGTGGGCAATGGGAAGAGGAGAGGTGCTTCGAAAGGCAAAAGACAGGTCATTTGCGGCATTGATGAACAGCCCAGATGATAAAGAGAGAATTACAAAATGGATCCTGGCAAAAGGCTGGTTTGAACGGTTCCGACTCGTAGGAGAAGTGGAAATTGCATTGGAAGAAAAGATGAGACGATGTGAACAATGATAATACGGAATTCACACTGTATAAACAGTGTAAATGCACTTCCTGTAGGAAACCTCAGAAAACCAATAGAAACGAGACAAACAGTTGTGGGGGGTTTTTACCGATTTTGGTTTCGTCCTTTGTAAATAATGCAGATAGTCACCTGCATGGACCCATAGGGTGCCTGATCGGGTTAATTGATATCAAATTCAAAATTCAAACAAGAATCAGACATAATAGCGATAAGAAAACAGGTAGACTTATAATGAATAATAGAGTCAACTATCCAAATCCACTAAGGACTTAGCAGGACCCATAGCAGCATTGCCACACAAGAAACGAGTACATTGGGCTCAATGCTTACTTAAACCTAAGGAATTTGCCAGAAGTGAGAAAACTACGCTGCCAATATGGATACCCCTCCTAAAATATAAAGCACATGGTGATTTCTTGTCCATGATGGGCAAAGGGAAGAGGTGAGTTGCTACGATAATCGACAACCCGATCTTTCTGTGACAGGCTTTCCCCAGATTGGGACTGGTCATTAGGTCCACTTCGTCTTCGAGTTTAGGCTGTAACAGAGCAACGCCCACGGAAATGTGAATGGGACGCTAAGGAGGTATCAAGGGTGGCACGTACCAAATGGGAAGTGTGATACAGGAGAATAGATGAGCCGGGGAAAAAGGATGATCCTCTCGTAGCCAATGGAGGGAGCTAAGACTAGTCTATGCAGAAGACATAAAGGACAGGACACGATACTGTGAATTAGCTTTCCAAAGAAAAATTATTCATTCCATTGAGTTATCGACTTCAAGTACTTCTGACTTCTTTAAACCTTTTACACTTTCAAAGCTTTGTTAAATAACGTCAAAGGTATGAATAGAGTTGCACAGTGGATTCAAAAGGAAGGATGGCTAGAGCAGTTTCGGATGACCGGAGAAATCGAGGCGTTAATTAGGTGAAGAGAGGAAATTGGAAACACAGGAAATGAACGGAATCAACACTGGCAACAACAGTGTGAGTGCACTTCCTAGAGGTAAGAATATAATGGCGCAGAATCCAATCAGACAGCTAAAGGGTTTTTCACTTCAAGGTTTCCTCCTATGTAAATCAGAAAGTTTGTTAGATACCTGCATGGGCCCACAGGGCGCCAAATCAGGATCATAAGATCAAATTACAAAAAAGAGAATCAGAAAACCAACATGGTACAGATTCAAATGGATCACGGCGTGGGAATAGGAGTTTTTATCCATGTCACGTAACATATGAGCTTGAACTGCTGCGTAACTTACGCAAAGCTAAATCTTTCCTGCAATATCTAAATTCATTACATTCCAGGAGGTATTACTTCTGGCTCTGCACAATCCCTTTTACTATTGACCTTGGAACCATATCGTGCGTAGCTGTAAAAGGTCCAAGGAATTCGGAAGTACTCGAAAGTCGTTGACTCAATAGGAATTAATTATTTTTCCTTGGGATGCTAAACTACTGTATCGTATCCTGCCTTTTATGTCTTCCGCGTACGCTAGTGTTAACTCCCCCCTTTGGCCATATGAGAATACTCCTTTCTCCCGGCTATCTTCCTTAGCTCCCTGAGAATCATCCTTTCCCCCGGCTATCTTCCTTAGCTCCCTGAGAATCATCCTTTCC